CAGTCTGAGGTCTGTTTGCTCACGTAAGGCTCACAGCAGCCCTGTTGCATGGTGCTGTGGGTTCCCTGGGCCTGGTCTGGACCCCAGCCCCGTGTGAGGCAGGGACCGTGGCTCTGCCCCCTCCTTCGCCACTGGGGGAGCGGCGGAGCCTCGACATGGGGAGGGGACCCCTGAGGAGGGGACACGTCTCTGCCCACACCAGCTCCTCTGAGTGGACGGGGCGTGGCCGCACCTCGGTGCAGAGAGAATTACAGGGACAGGACCACCAGGGGGCGCCAGCAACTCAGCTTTGGAAGAGGGGATGCGCCTTTCTCTCCCCGAAGGCAGTGAGTCCTGTCACTTCCTCCCGCTCCGGGGGCTGGAGTGAGGCTCGCAAAGGCTGACTTGCCAGAGGCCACCGAGATGGCAGCGCTCCCGTTCTGGCCTCCTTTCCTGCCTGTCCCCCCTTTGTGTCCCTGTGCCCCGGGCACAGAGAGTGCACACACCTCTGTCCACGCAAGTCAGTACCCTCCCTCGGTTTGTTTGTTTATTTATAATTTCTTTGTTGATTAAGGTATCACATATTTGTCCCCAACCCCCCATTCCAATGCCCTAGCTGGTTTGGCTCAGTGGGTAGAGTATCAGCCTGAAGACTGACTCCCGTCAAGGGCACATGCCCGGATTTCAGGCACAGTCCCCAGTGTGGGGCGTGCAGGAGGCAGCCGATCCATGGTTCTCCCTCGGTCTGTTTAACCCGGTGTCTCCAGACCCACCAATCTCCCTGCTCTGCTGAGCTTCCAGGCACTTGGGGTCCCATTACTCATTGGGGGTCCCATCACTCATTGGGGTCCCATCACTCATTGGGGTCCCATCACTTATTGGGGGTGCCATCACTCACTGGGGGTCCCATCACTCACTGGGGTCCCATCACTCACTGGGGGCACCTGTGGCATCCTGCCCGGCTCCGCCCTGAGAGGTCACACTGCCAAACGTGTTCCCCCTGAAAGTCTGTCCGGAGTGTGAGTCAGTAAAAATGCCGGTTGAATGATGGGCAGGCACAAAAGTGGGGGTGTGGGGGGTCCTTCTCAGCATAGCTCAGGGGGCTGCAGAGCCAGCAGCGACCATCGCCGGCCGGAAACCACATGGATGAGGACAGACAGTTCTGTGCTGTCCCACCTCCTGTCTGTGTGTGTCCAGTGAGGTGTGGCTGAGGAATGAGGGTGTGTGTGGGGTGGGGGTGGGGGGAAGGAGAGGAGGCCCGGGGCAGGGAGCAGAGCTTTCCCAGGGCGAGAATAAGGCCCACATAGAAAAGGAGAGGCAGAGAGATGCCAAGAGCCGAGCTCGGCTGAGGAAAGCGAGCCCTGAATGGGAGCCTTGTGTGTGGCCGGGGTGTTGACTCACCCGGGCTCAGGGGAGGGGACTCGCTGGGGATGAAGAAGGGGCCTGTGTGCTGTGGTCGGCACCCCAAACCACCCCGTCACCCCAAGCCCCCCGTCACCCCAAACCCCCCGTCACCCCAAACAACCCGTCACGCCAAACACCCCGTCACCCCAAACCCCCTGCCACCCCAAACCCCTCATCACCCCAACCCCCCCGTCACCCCAAACCCGTCATCACCCCAACCCCCCCGTCACCCCAAACCCGTCATCACCCCAAACCCCCCGTCACCCCAAACCCCCCGTCACCCCAAACCCCCCATCACCCCAAACCCCCCGTCACCCCAAACCCCCAGTCACCCCAAACCCCCCGTCACCCCAAACCACCCCGTCGCCCCAAACCCCCCGTCACCCCAAACCCCCCGTCACGCCGAGGACAGCTTGTCGGCTCGGAGCCAAACAGGCCCAGAGGCTCTGCTGGGGCCGGTGGGCCGGGGAGGAGGGGCGCGGGAGGGTGGGCACACAGAGGGAGAGGGCGAATGTTTGGAGAATGAGGCCCTTTGGGGAGGGCTGTGTCTGTGCCAGGACAGGGAGTGTCTCTCCCACGCAGGCAGGTGTGGCCGGTCAGGCCCGGGAGAGGTGACTCCCTGGCCACACCTGAGCAGCTAAGGGTGCCTCCTGAGTAAGTGCTTCGCAGAGACAGACGGGACACAGCCTGAGTGTAGACACCCCACATCCTCCCCTCCGGCCTGGCCTCCCCTCGCCTCAGCCGCCAAACCAGTTCCGAGGTATGAGGACAGGATTTTTGTGGCAACTAGGCTGGCCGACAGCCTGGGCCGTGGACAGAGGGCAGGGCTGGAATCTGGGGCAGCTCAGGTGAGCGAGCTCGGTGCCCAGACACCGGAGAGGATCAGGTGAGAGGGAGGAGAGCCCGCGGGAGCAGCCGGGCTGGGGGAGCAATCCCTGGCCCCAGGGCCGCGCAGGTGGCGGCCGCAGAGCCAGTCCTGTCAGCTTGGCCGAGCCTCCTGGCCCTACTGGGCTCATCCTCATCTGTAATGTGGGCGCTAGGACGAAGGCTCTCAAAACTTCCTTCTTGTTCCAACCATCCCCCTCTTCTCTCCCCAGTGTCCTGCGTCCGGTGAGTCTCAAAAGCTAGCTAGCTAATGAGCGGATTCTCACTGAGGTGACTGGCTGGTGAGGGCTAACATCCTAGACTCCCCAGGTGTGTTTTTCGTAGTTCTGGCTACAGGATGGCCAGTGGGGGGAGTGGACTTGAAGGTCAGTTGGATGGTTTGAATCCCAGCGGTGCCACTGAGTCAGCCCTGCTCGGCCCCGGGGCCTCGGGCCCTTTCCCGGCCCCGGGAGCCTTCATTCCCCGATGGGCCAAGTAGGAGCACCTGACTCTCTCAGGATTCGTAGTGACTGAGTGAAGGAACATCCACAAAATCCCTGTGGAGAGTTTGGTACCAAATAACGCACCGGGAGTGTGTGCACCCTCCTTTAGGACTTGACCGCGACCAAAGGAACAGGGAGGAGTGGGGATGGAGACCGCGGCAGGAGGCTTACCGGGGACTGGGTTCCCTTGGGATCAGCATGGAGGGTGGGGGAGGAAATGAGGGGAAGAGACCGCCGAGTTGTGGCTCAGCCAGTCCTACTGGGGGGTTTGACGCTGGGATGACCCTTCAGAGGTCCCTCGATTAGGGACAAGGGGCCAGGTCTTGATACCCCTCACCAGCCGGTCTTTGGACATGAACTGCCCACGGAAGGAGAGGTGACCTTGGTCAGAATGGCTTTTCGGGTTAGGCAGTTCCCACAAGGGGCTCAGGCCCGGTGAAGTTCACGGTTGGTTCCCTCCCCCAGGGGACTGGTGTCTCCGGTGCTGTCAGTGAGCAGGGCTCTTGTCACATGAAGTAGGCCGCTCCCCAGGGATCAGGCCAATCTTGTTGGGGCACTTCCGGCAATTTCTCAGAACCAACCCTCCTCGGCGTGGACTGCGCCGCCCGGCACTCTGTGCCCCCCCGTCCCCCGTGGTGCTTCTGCCAGGGCCCCTTCCATACCCCCGCCGCGCTCTCCCGTCGTCCCAGTTACGTTTCCGTGTCAATGCTTTGCTTCTCCCAACTAGATTGTTTAAAGGAAACACTTTCAGACTTGTTTTCCGAAATAGCTACCTTGGTTTCTGTCTTAGATATTAAAGGAAAGTCTGTTGCTTGACGGGAATTCTTGATTAGGTTTGATAATCAACTCCTAGGGGGTAGAGGTGGCGGGTAGGGCGAGTGTGGTGTCTTGCTGGGTTAAACCTGTTCCAGTCCAAGAATCTGCCCAGACCCTTATCTGGAGCCCAATTTAGTCCACATCAGAACCCGCTCCTTCCATCCTCTCCCCGCCACCCCCCACCGGAGGACCTGGGCTCAGTGAAACACAGGCAGTGGGAAGAGCACAGCCTGGGGTTAGGTCCAGGCCCTGGTCCGGTCCTCAGGGACCTCGCTTGTGAAGCTTAGCGAGGCAGCGTGCGTGTGAAGTCATCAGCACGGCCGGGAACCCAACTAGATACTCGCTTGACTAGGAAATGCCTTCTGGCAAACCAGTCTCAGGAGCTTAGGACCTCTCCTTAGGTCAAAGGCAAGAACCAGTTTTTGTGAGTGAACTGGTGAGGGCAATGAGGCACCATTTCTCAGGAGATTACCCACATCCCCTGGTCCCCAGGCCCATCCCCGGGCATCCGCACATGTAGCAGGCTCCCAGGTTCTACTGAAGCAACACCAAGTTCTCCTCAGCTTTTCCCAAAGGACTGACCATGGACAGGCCAGCAGACAGCTGGATGTATTATACTATAGGTTCTCAAATAACACAGAAATGACTCCTGGGGAACAATGCTCACTGCCTCCCCCTGACTCATGGGTGTGCATACCCATCCAGCGTTCCAAAAGACATCTGAAGTTTTGTTTCAAGCACTAAGCACCAGAATCGCTCTTTATAAATTACACACACACACACACACACACACACACACACACACTTTGACCAGGCAGCACGGCTGACAGGCTGTTACGGGAAACCAGATATGCCCCGTGTTTGTTGAAACGATCATTAATTGGCTTAAATGCTGGAAACTTAAGCTATGTAAACATCCACACTGTCTGAACATCTTTTGTACATCAAGGGACCTCCAAGTGCTTTTGTCTGGCTACGGCTCCCATTTACTAACCGAGCAGCAGCCACAGCGCGGGGCTGGGAGACGGGCGCCTCGGTCCCGGTGAAGGGAGAAGAGGCAGGGGCTCCGTGTGTTGAAGTTAGGGCACGAGTCATGGATGGCTTCCGGTGAAATCATCAACCAAATTTGTATAGATCCGTGTGTTTTTTTTCCGTTTTTTTTCTGGGAACAGAGTCTAGCTTTTCTTAGATTCTCAAAAGCTTCAGGGTCTCCAAGTGGGTTAACAATGACAGATATTGGGAAGGCTTCCTCCGGCTCTACGGATCTAAAGAAAATGGGCATCCCGGCTCCCTCCGGGGTCTGACTGGACGGGCCACGGGCTCCATTTGGCTTGTGAAAGCCGTGAGCGAATGGCTTCTTCCCGGAACAGTACAGGCCCTTGTTGGGCAACTCGCTTCACTTTGTACAAACAAGACTGCTTCCCCCCCCGACAGTATGATTTAGCTTGTTTTAATGTCGTCTGCTATAAAATGGATGGAGATTCCTGCACGCTGCATTTGCTTTACAAACGTTAGTGACTGGTTAATTAATGCCTGTGCTATGGGCTGCACAGCATTATAATCTGTTGACCGGTAACACAGCTTTTTGCAACATGGGTTAAAATTCCAAAACTGTGAATCATGGAACGTTTACTTAGCACACACGACCTACAGCAAACCTAAATACTATTCTAGAACGCCTAACTGGATTATTGGATCCACTGCAGTATTGTGCTTTTTTTATCTCAGAAGATAGGCGACTAGCAAAAATACACATTTCTTTTTTCATCTCCCCACCCCCATATTACACTGTAAAAGAAATACATTAGTCAGTGCACTTCCTAAGAAATAAACTTTCCCATAATCTCTCTCTCTATATATCTATGCGGAAATAAAGAAAGAGCACAATGCAGCCTTTAAGATTACCATTTAAAGCAAAGGAGGGAATAGCATTCTGGGACTACTGTCCCCCAATTTAATAAGCTCAGCTATTTTATCAACACCACTACTTGGCTACGCCGGGAATAAAGCTCAGTGCGCGATTGCTTTGGAAAGTTAAGATCCTCCCTCCATCACTGGTAGACTCGCTGGGGCATTAATCGTTTTTAATTGTTAAGTATTGGCCTTCATCAAACCATAAGCTGTGGAGACACCCAGGTGACTTAATTTCCGTCACCTGCCCATCAACACACACTGGGTTAAGAGGATACAGACTTAAAGGACGGCAGGTCAGGGGCTGCTGGGTAGAGGTCGGCGAGAATGTATTGAGGACACCGTGTCCTGTGACGCCCATCCCCGTGGACACAGGGTCAGGCAACCGCTTTGTGTAGAACGCGGAGTCGGAGCGGGGTTGTGGGCAGTCTTGTTGGAACAGAGAGAGGGTCATAATGCTCCATGGGCTCTGTTTCCTGTACTAGCCTGCAGGTTGGCAAGTCTGGAGGCCTTTATCCTCACACACCTGCCATGATGGAAATAATTTAAATTTCTGGAACCAAAGGGATTGCAACTCGGAAGCTGTGTGCCAAACCCAGCTGCAGGAGTGTTTATCTAGCGGTGTTTAAACTGTTTTGGAATGGGTTCTGGTATTTGAAAATGAGGAGGTTTCTCATGGAAATTTGGCTTTTATAAAAATGTGAGGAGCTGGTAACCCTGGCCCAGCGTTCTTGCATGGCAGCACGGTGCTGGATGGACAGGAGGGGACCTCTGAGTGGGGCTGGGCATCCTGTGTGCTGCGGCTCCTCCTCCACCACGGCCCGCTTAGTTCTGTGACACTAGGTTAGTTTGGCGCTGCCTTTAAAAATTTTTTTAAAAATTAATTTCAGAGAGGAAGGGAGGAGAGTTAGAAACATCAGTGATGAGAGAGAATCACTGATGGGCTGCCTCCTACACGCCCCCAACTGGGCATTGAGCCCACAACCGGGCAAGTGCCATTGACAAGAATCAAACCTGGGACCCTTACATTCTGTCCACTGAGCCAGACCGGCTAGGGCTGGCTCCGCCTTCTCATGAATCTGAAGACCTGACTTCACGTGGAATTTCCCCCCCTCCTGTGGGCACCATTGCTCCTTTGATTGACTGGGTTCCAGACCCATCTGGTTGCTTTGGTAGGTAATCTTAACATGCATTTCTACTCATCCTTTATGCGATATTGCAAACTCCAAAGATACATTCACACTAATATTTGTGTGTTAAACACGTAAAGGGATGTGTGTCTATACAGATAGGTGATACTTCCATTTAGGCAAAAGTTAATTTGGTTCCACAGACACCATTCTCAGCCGGGAGAATGAGAGTAACACCTTGGTAAAACCTATATAATTTTGATTTATATTACAAAGAGTGAATCTTAAATTATTGCTTTTTGATTCCAGAATAAAGATCTCATTCTGTGGCAAAACTTGTATACAGAAGGAGTAACCAGTTCCTATTCAAGTAATAGCGATCGGAATCAGAAGTTCCTTACAAACAGTAGATGCCTGAAGACATTTTTTTGAATGGAGATGTGATTTCATTCTATTCCATAATGTATGCAGGACACCGGCAGGGAATTGTCCTCTTCAAGAAAGAGTGCAGGAAATCAGCACCTCGACTCCTTAGTGCTCAGGAGGGCGTCGCAGGGTCTGAGAAGCTTAGGCTGGTGGCGAGTTCACATCCACCTTCGGATCCCCACTCCACTTACGCAGCTTGTAGTATCAAAAACAGTAAAAGAGGGTTAAAAGCAGTGCTTGTGTTTAACATTCAGGATTCACAGAGGATCTAATTTTCTGCCATTAAAACGAGCCGTTTCGTGTTTTTGCTGCAGAATCACACTCACGTGGCAGTCTTATTTCAGGCACTTTTAAAACATGTTCATCTGGGATAAAAATCTGCATGAACCACTCCTGCATAATTCAAAATGTGTGTCGAGTGATTCTAGTCCTAAAATAGACAGCAAGTCACCACCTGCTCCTCACTCCCCTCCCTCCATCACCACACCACGGTGACTGCTGCGCTTGGGATGTCTTTGAGGCGCCCTTCTAGCGTTAGAGCACAAAGAGGTGAGTCATAAAAACCCAAACTCCTCACGTCTACTTAAAAAAAAATACAAAAATGTGAAATACACTCAATGTATTATACAGATGGTTTCCGCTACTATCAAAATAAATAACATGATCTGACTCCGAGCTCTTGGACAAGATCCGATGGAATGTCAGCTGTGCAGACCCCTCAGGGACTAGCTGCTGGGAGGCAGGAGGATCTCGGTGTCCTTGCCGTTGGCCATGGCAGAGCTGGCCAGGTCCTCGGCGGTGGCCCCAGAGGATGCCTGGGAGTGAGTTTTGGTCAGGGGGGCGGCAGCGGAGGGAGAAGGCGTGAGGCCAGGCTTTTTGGGTGGGATGGGTGGAGGGTTCCCTCTCTCAGCTCTGGGGATGGTGGGGGACTTGATCCCCGGAGACAGGGGGCTCAGAGGACTGGACACTTTGCCCGGAGTGGGGGAGTGGCCGGTGTCGCCCCTCGGGTTGGCGGTGCTGGCCAGGTTGCGGTAGTCTGTGCCGAAGGGAGAGCTGTTGGGCGAGACGGGCTTGATGGGGCCCTGCTGGCTGGTGAATCTGGACAGCACCTGCGTGACGGTGTTCCGGGCCAGCTGCTTGGCAGCCGAGTTGTCCAGGAGGGTGGGGGACAGGTCCCGGGACGGGGGGCTTTGCAGCCCGCTGGCTTGCTGGTCCTGGTCGGCCTGGGACTGGAATTTGTGCCGAGCCGCGTGGAAGCGCTGGTTGACGCCCACTTGGTAGGAGGACTGGTAGCCGGGGCTGCTGGCCGAGGGCCCCAGCAGGCGCTTGGTGAGCACCGGGGAGGAGCACGGCGAGGACGTGAGGGAGGAGGACGCGGTGCTGCTGGGGGACAGCGAGCTGCTGCCGGACGGCAGCTGGCCCGGCGCGGGGCCCGGGCCCTCCACGGCCCCGGCGCACCCCCCGTTCTCCACGGCCTTCTCCCGGGGAGGCGGCTGGCTTTCCACGCTGCTGCCCGGGGTGGACTCCTTGGCCGCGGGCGTCTCTGGCTCAAAGTGGCCGTTGGCTCTCGCGAAGCAGTAACTGGGCGTGGTGGGGCCGGGCAGCCCGGTGGCTGCCGCCTTGGCCACGCCGCTGCCGGGGGTTCTCTCCGCCTGAAAGCCCTCCGTTTGGCAGGACACAGACACCAGCCCCGGAGGCTCGGTCGCCGTGCCCTGAGACGTGGCCCCTGGCTTCCGGGATGGCTCATTAGAGCTGCTGGGCTGGCGGGAAGCTTCCAGGTCCCTCACGATCTTCTTCAGACTCTCCAGCTCTTCTTTCAGGGTTTTGGTCCGGTTCTCTTCCCGGCTCAGCTTGGCCCTCAGCTGCTCCCTTTCGGTGTCGAACTCGGACAGCTGCTTCTCCACCCGGGCCTCCGTCTGCAGGCCGCGCCTGCGCTCGGCCGCCAGCGCCTCCTCCAGGGCGCCCGCCCGGCCCTTCTCCCTCTCCAGCTGCAGGCCCAGCTCCCCGGCCCGCTGGCCCTCCTCCGCCGCCTTGCTGCTGGCCTTCTTGCACTCGAGCACCAGCAGGGACGAGAGCTGCTTGTGGCGGGCGCGCTCCTCCTCCAGCTGCCCCGACAGCTTCTTCTGCTCCTTCTCCAGCTTCTTCACCTGCGACTTTTCAAATTCCAGCTGGGAGGCAAGACCACACACACCGATTAGAGTGAAAACACAGAGACACGCCGAACAGGCACAGCTAGAGGGCCCTGGCTAGCTCTTCTTGCACACGAGATGACACGCATGCCACATGCCTAGCTAGGTCAGATATTTATTTATTTTTAAATATATATTTGTATTGATTTTAGAGAGGGAGAGGGATTAGATAGATCAATGATGAGAATCACTGATCGGCTGCCTCCTGCACGACACCCCCCCCCCCCCCCCCCCCCCCCCCCCGTGCTGGGGATCAAGCCCACAACCTGGGCATGTGCCCTGATGGAGAGTCGAACCACGACCTCCTGGTTCTTAGTTGATACCCAACCACTGAGCCACACCAGCCAGCTTCGATCAGACATTTCTAACAAAAAGACACACACAATTTAATCTCTTCGGTGACGCAGGAGGCCCCTCTAGTTCTTGAGAAGCCCCAGGGGTGCTGGTGGGGACCTGAGCCACCATCGTGCTCCGGGAGTGTGGAGGGTTCAGAGGCCCCGAGCACGTGAAGGAGGCTCTGAGCTGGGAGCCGCCGGAGAAGGAACCTAAGGCTTACACCGGCACACCAGTGGTTGCATTTAAATCCCTTTTCACACAGACGCATTGCTTTAATCATTATCCCAACCCCACTTACAGGGAAGGTGGAAGAACCCTTTTGGTCAGCATTTGTCAAATGCTGAGACCCATTTGTGGATGGGGAAACCAACTGAGTAAGTCGTCACCAGAACGTTTAAAAGATAAAGCAGAAGGGAAAATATCCATGTGTTCTTTAAGGATTATGTCTGATTCCATGATATTTTTGTTTCAGGCCTGTGTGTATAGAACTGGCTGTGATGTAAAATGTTTTGCCCTGGCCTGTTTTGCCCAGTGGTTAGAGTGTCAACTCACTGGGTCTCGGGTTTGATTCCCAGGCATGTACTTTGGCTGCAGGTTCGATCCCAGTTGGGGCCGGTGCGGGAGGAAGTAGTCGATGTGTTTCTTTAACATTGATATTTCTCTCTCTCTTCCCCTTCTCTCTCCCTTCCACTCTCTCTCTAAAGACCAATGGGAAAAACATATCCTTGGGTAAGGATTTAAAAAAAAAAAAAATCACAAATAAAATGTGTTTCTACCAGGAGTCCTAAGTCAGAAAGTCAGTGTTTGACGTTAGTATTCCCAAAGTGTAATCTAGGGAACAGCAGCCTCACAGGCAGTGATTTATATCAAGGAAAGGGGCGGACTGGTTTGGCTTGGTGGATAGAGCATCAGCCTGTGGACTGAAAGGTCCCGGGTTCGATTCCGGTCAAGGGCATGTACCCTGGTTGTGGGCACATCCCCAGTAGAAGGCGTGCAGGAGGCAGCTGATGGATGTTCCTCTCTCATCGATGTTTCTAACTCTCTATCCCTCTCCCTTCCTCTCTGTAAAAAAAAATCAATAATATATATTAAAAAAAAAAAAAAGATTTTATGAAAACATAGATGTGCTCGATGCAGAAGACCCTGTCTTTTCCCTGCAGACTCACAGTGCGCATGGGCGTACTAGAGGGTCTGAGAAGCTGAAGTTAGGAACCTCTTAGCTTTGTCTAGTCCAGCTTACAGCTGGCAGGACAGCCTCTGAGGAGGGCTGCTCCAGGCCGAGGCTGCGCGCAGCCTCCCCGCCCACCTGCTGGGTCAGCCTCTCCCGCTCCTTCTCCAGCATGTAGGTGACGTCGTCGCCCTCGGCGGTGTCCTGGGCGTGCCTCTGCCTCTCCTCCTCCAGGTCTAGGATCACCTTTAAAGAATTAAAAAAGAAAAAATCATTTCCAAATAGCAAGTGATCACACTTACAATGCAATGAACACTAGGCGCCTGTCTAACGAAGGTGAGGGCTTCATAAATAATCTACGCAAAAGCCAAAACCAGTTTGGCTCAGTGGACAGCGCTTCGGCCTGAGGACTGAAAGGTCCCGGGTTCGATTCCGGTCAAGGGCATGTACCTTGGTTGCGGGCACATCCCCAGTAGTGGGTGTGCAGGAGGCAGCTGATCGATGTTTCTGACTCTCTATCTCTCTCCCTTCCTCTCTGTAAAAAAAAATCAATAAAATATATTTATTAAAATAAAAAAAAGACTTTTCTGGGTCTTGTACAACTCTGAGAATGCAATGAAAGATACGAGGAAATGTTCATTTTCTGTAAGAATGAGTAAGTCTTTGGCATTCTGTGTACTTTTAGGGGGGCCATGAACCACCTGAGGCCCATCCATCGTTGAGAACCCGCACTCTGACCTTCCCTGTGGACTGTGTGAGGGGACAGGAACCCCGGGGGCGAGACCTGAGCCTAAGCGATTTGTCACGTGTTGTGAGCAGATGGCTCCTGAATGCAGGTATCCATAAAAGTGAACGAAGGTCCGTCAAGCTGCAGCTGCTAACACAGTTTCCCAGAATAAGTTGCTTCCTACTAATTGCGCTGATGCCCTCCCTGGTGGGCATAAACCCAAACCAATGGTTAAAAGGAAAAAAAGCAGATTCTAGCCACGCATGTTTTACAGGCCAGATCTGAGCAGAAAATGACAAGAATGAGAGTAACATCATAAGCACTAGAATTCCAAAGAGATGAGGAAAGCACAGGTTTGCCTTCTGAACTAGGGCTAGAAGGCCTACACACACACACACTTTCCTACGAGGGTAGAACAGCTTTAAGGTAAACAACCCTAGGTACTGTTTATGGTTTCATGAGAAATGAAATGCAACGAAACAAGTGAAAATAATTCAATGGCTTATCGTAAGGTAAATTCTCTCTCGCTTGCTCATTCCCCAAATACCTGTTAATCTGTCTATGTATCACGTCAGTAAGCAAACAGAATGCTCCGTTCAGCTACAAGCTTGGCTACACCCTGGTTTGCTGCCAAAGTTGGAATGATGGAGAGCTGAGAAAACATACCCAGTGTTTGGCGTGCCCTGGCCAGAGGAATGCTGTCTTGGCTGTGTCTGGCACACTCCCTAACTTAGCATGTGCCACGGCCTGGTTCTCTTTCCTGCCTCCTGGCTCCACGGCGAGCTAAGGGGCTCTCTGAGACCTGGGGAGCCTCCGACGGAGTCCCTGTGAGAACTGGCAGCTGACAGGCAGCATCAGGCTCACTTATAGTCTCCCCAAGAGCTCACGCAGCCCCCGCGCCCCTGGCCAGCCCACCTTGCGGTGCCTGCTCTCGGCGGCGGCCAGCTGGGACAGCATCCGCTCCTGCATGTTCTTACACTGCTTCATCACCACCTTGAGAATGGACAGGGGGTTGGTGCAGACCGGCTGCTTTTCGCCATCATTTTTCTCCTTCAGCGCCTCAAAGTCTCTCTGCAGAGCCATTAGAGGGTCGCTGATGTTGTATTTTCCATAGCGTTCTTCAATGAAAGTGTCTCTGTGCTGTGCCTGGGAAGAGAAGAAATTGCATTGTGCTTTTTAAAGTGACCGAGGAATGGGGTCTGCTAGTAGTTACCCATGAAAGGGGAGGGGTAGTATGAATAGAACCTGTTGGCTACAGATCCGATGGAGCCATCTAGATGTAGAAATGACATCAGAATGGGGCACGGGATGACATTAACGAGAATACTTACACAGAGCTAACTGCGTATTAGACGTGTTCTAAGCATTCACAGTAACATGAGCTTATTTAAATTTCACAACCCTCTTAGGCGGTGACTTCATCTCCACTTTGCAGCTGAGAAAACTAGCAGGAGAGGTCAGGTAACCTGCTCCAGGTTACTCATCTAGCAAGTGGTCAGACTGGGACTTAGCCCCTCGCACCTGGCTCTCAGGTTTGTGTCCTCAACCACCACGCTCCCGGCTTCTGCTGGGGAGGCGTTATTACCCTCAGGGGTATCTGATCTTTCCTTTCTGAGTAATAGCTCCTGCATTTCTGAAATATGCTAGGCATGAAGTCTGGTGAGTTTACATATTTGGAGCCCCATCCAGGCGGCTGCAGATAAGTAAGCATGCTAAAAATGCTTCTGGATTGTAACCCAGGACTCTCTGTGACTTTTACAAACAACTTCACTCGGTTGGTGGGTGGAGAGGGCAGAGGCACTTACGACCAGGGGAGCAGACAAACCCCTTCTAACCTGCTGCCAAGGCCCACCCCGTCTTCTTGTCTCTGTTCGGCTGCGGCCTCCATCCCGCTCTGTTCCTGGGGTGGTGAGCTTGGAGGATGAGAGGTCAGAGGAATGATCCTGGTACCCACAGTGGTTTCACAGCGCAACTCCCTCCCCCAAAGAAACCCTGTTAACCTGCATGTTTTGTGACCTTTCCTTGTCAGAACCCTGTGGAGAAGAGGGACGAGAGCAGGAGCTGGGGGGACAGCTCATGACCTTGACGTTAGATCTGCTGAGAAGCCGTCTCTCAGGTTTGAGTATGTAGTTAACTAATCCTTAGAAATATGACTTTCTAAAAGCCGCACTGTTATTATCCTGTATAATTAATAAGCACCACCGAGCTCCGAGTGAAGGAGGGAGCTGGTTTGGTGAGCCTCAGACTTCTGAGGACAGTGGTTAAGCTGTCTGTTTTCTCTGACGTTTCCCAGTAATTTCATAATCACTCGCATAGTAATTACAAGTTGTACCAAATTGGTGGCTTTGCACATAAATGAAAAGAATCTGCGGGATAATTTTAAAAAGGCTCCTTGTCACAAAACAGTTCATTTAAACACATTCTCATACGGGAACAGTGAACTGGAGGTCTATATTTATGATACCGAACACTGGATGGGAAAATGGGAGACAGAACATAGTATTTTTCAATCAATTTAATACCTCAACCGGGCGGACTGTATGGATGACAGGTTTACTGGTAATAGCACAGCTAATAAGGACAATGATAAAAAATGGATGTTAAGGTAGGAAGAATGAAAGAAGAGCCTTAGTGGAGGAGTGTAATGGTCATCTATTCCTGCATAATTACCCCAAAGCTCAGCAGCTTAAACAGTAAACATCGCTTTCATGTCATAGCTTGTGAAGGTCAGGAACCCGGGAGGGACTGGGCTGGCGGTTCTGGCTGGGCCTCAGGAGGCTGTAGTCAAGCTGGTGGCCAGCGATATGTCATTAGAAGGTATACTGGGGCTGGTGGCCCATTTCCAAAGTGTAACTACGTTGGAAATTAATCTGGAAGTTTCTCATCAAGTTAGAAAAATGCCTCTCTGAAATCCCACCTCTAAGTATGTATCCCAAAGAAATGAAAACATATATCCACACCAAGACTTTTACACAATTATCCACAGCAGCTTTCCTCATACCAGCTCCAGTGGAATCAATGAAGTATCAATCAATAGAACAAATGGATGCATTCATACAATAGAATACTACTCAGCAATGAAAAGGGATGAATTACTGATGAACTGGAAAACAATAATGATGAACCTTAAAATTAGTATACTGAACAAGACAAAACCAAAAAGCCAGATATAAAAGAATACATTCTGTGTGATTGTGTCCTAACAGGCAAAACTAATCAATGGCGAGAAAATCAGAACAGTTTGTCTCTGGGGAGAGGGGACGATTGACTAGGAAGGGGCACAGATTACTTTTTTGGTATGATGAGCATGTTCCTGTCTTCACAGGGGAGGAGGTGAAATGGCGTATGCATTTGTCAAAGTTTACTAAACTGACCACTTAAGATCTGTACATTATACCAGCGGCCGCCAATCTTTCAGTGGTCCCTGGATCACCAGTTGGTGACTGCTGCATTAATATATATATTAATATATATATATATATATATATATATATATATATATATATTTAAAAAAATATATTTTATTGTTTTTTTACAGAGAGGAAGGAAGAGGGATAGAGAGTTAGAAACATCGATGAGAGAGAAACATCTATCAGCTGCCTCCTGCACACCCCCTACTGGGGATGTGCCGGCAACCAAGGTACATGCCCTTGACCGGACTCGAACCTGGGACCTTTCAGTCTGCAGGCCGATGCTCTATCCACTGAGCCAAACCAGTTTCGGCTACTATATATTTTTTATATTTTTAAACTAGAGATATAATTTAGGCTGTATCTAAATTATTGTATATCTCTAGTTAAAAAATATTTTAAAAATGTAGTGAGCACTGCCGAAACCGGTTTGGCTCAGTGGTAGAGCGTTGGTCTGCGGACTGAAAGGACCCGGGTTCGATTCCGGTCAAGGGCATGTACCTTGGTTGCGGGCACATCCCCAGTAGGGGGTGTGCAGGAGGCAGCTGGTTGATGTTTCTCTCTCATCGACGTTTCTAGCTCTCTATCCCTATCTCTTCCTCCCTATAAAAAATCAATAAAATATATTTTTAAAAAAATGTAGTGAGCACTAATGGGAAATTTAAGTTATATATAATATAAGCTTTATATATACATATATATATATTCCAAAACAGGGGGAGTTCAAACCAAAGTTATGTTACTCATGATAAGAACAGCAGAAACAGCACAGGAGGCACTGACAGTGGAGTGCGTATTGCCTGTCCAGCCGAGCACCCCGTTTTTCCGCACCTGCTCTCGCCTAACCTACGGTGTGCCCGGGAGGCGGCATCACTCTGTCTGTGTGTCACAGGAGAAACTGAACATTAACTGTGGCTTTCCCAAGGTTACAAAGCCAGCTGGTTAAGTGGAGAACAGTGATGGTATGATAGTATAGTAAGTACTGAATATGTTAGCTAAATGAGTAATACATAGATAAGTACTCCCCAGGACTCTGTAGGAATGAACTTCAATTTAGTTTGTCTCAATCAGTAGGTTAAAAGTGAAATAGAAAACATCGCAGGACACTGAAAAAAGCCGTTCAGGAAGGACTTCTTTTGGCACAAAATACAGCTGTGTGTGTGTGTGTGTGTGTGTGTGTGTGCGCGCGCGCGAGCCCGTGTGTGTGTGTGCATGCGTGCACCCGTCCCTGGAGTTAGGATATAAAGTGTATTTTTCACGGTGTCCCTGTCAAATAAGTTTGAAAAACTCTAGAACAGCGAGAAGAATTCACAAGTCTGACTCCTGAATCTATGAGTTTCAACAGTTTAAGCTATAATAGATGTGTAAAAACGAAAAGTAACAAGGAATCAGTATAATTATTTTATTTTAAACTAATGTGATAAAGGTCTACCAACCAGAAGTTCAGCCTAATATCAAATATACAAAGCACAGCAAACAGACAGAACCCTCTGTGCTGTTCGGTTAGATACGCACTGCTGAGCTTGGGAGGATTTTCGGGACCGCGGGCGCTCCCCAGGCACATGCTCTGGATGCTTTCACTGCGCACTGACTCTGCTGGGGACCGAATGTGCTAAAAGATGCAGGCGATGACCCGGGGACACGGATCTGACTGAAGTAAGATTCCACCCTCTGCTTTTAAGGAACTGACCATTTGCCAGACAAGTTTAAGACCTACCAGCAGAGATAAACAAGTTGCCTTTGCTCGTTAAATGTTTTCTAAACAATATCGTTAATGTTTAAAGGAACACCGTGTACAGTTTGTTTGGTCAGAACTTTCTAAGGCTCAGGCCTTACACTTCCAAGGAAAAGGAAGGAAAAGGCCAGCCCTGGAAGTGGGCGGGGCCTGGCAGATAAATGGGACTCTCAGCGATTAGTGAATAACAGGAAACACCATGAGGCTGAGCGGGCACACAACCCCCAAGCGGCTCTGAGTCTATACAGAGGCCCGGCCTGCAGACCAGCTGTGTGTGGTGCCTGAAGCAACCGTGACCTTGAACAACCTCCTTTGCTAAGGATGTGTGCAGGCTCTTCCGCCTCCTGCGTGGTGACTGCAGAAGCTAACTCCACGATTAAAATATTGCAGAAGAGCTCACTGAATAAGATGGGAAAGGGCATCTTCCTCTTCCAGAGGATTCTGTGGGAGATGTGTGATTGTGGGATGTGTCTGAACTCTCAAACGTCTTTCAAGCAAGATTCTTGCATTACAAACAGCCTGATATGACAACGGAACATGGCAGGAAACCAGCTGCTCCAATGTACGATCCTGGGAAGAGGGCGCCCAGCTTGGCTGAGGAGAAGTGTTCCATTTAGAAGTTGATTAAGTAAGCAGGGGTAATAGGTTAGTGGGGGAGAGGAGGGTGCAGGGCTACGTGGAGACGGGATAGAATGAATAAAGAGGACCCGCATGGGCCAGCTGGTGTGGCTCAGTGGTTGAGCATTGACCCATGAATCAGAAGGTCATGGTTTGATTCCTGGTCAGGGCATATGCCTGGGTTTCTAACTTGATCCCCGGTGTGTGTGTGTGTGTGTGTGTGTGTGTGTGTGTGTGTGTGCGCGCGCGCGTGTGCGCGCAGGAGGCAGCTGATCAATGATTCTTTCTCATCCCTGATGTTTCTTTCTCTCTCTGAAATCAATAATTGTCTGATGTCAGTTACTTGCTATCCACTGTTTTATCATATCACCTTTCACAGTACA